AAAAATAACATAGAATTTATGTTTTTATAGAATTGTATATGAAATAATTGTTGTTTTTCAAAAAAAATTTAGGTTTTAAGATATTCAGACATAGTTGACAAAGAATTACACCAACCAAGCTGAGCCAGAGATATTATGAACATATATGCATTTACAGTGAAATTAAAATGTACATCAACTAAAGGCTAATATTAACCAAAATATATTTTATACAGTACATTCACTTGCATTTTAATCCTATGAAATAAACAAATACAGCTAGACAAGTAACAGAAAAACAATTACATGTAGTTCATATACTGTGTGTGTGTGTGTATAAGAAAGTCCTTTGTAGAAATTTGCCACTTTATTTTTATAACGCTAGTACCAGTATCCATATAAATAAATCAACCTTGAGCATACAACTTATCAGTACATTACATGTTTTCATTAAACACAAAAGAGTTCATATATAAAAAAGTTAACAACATGAAGGAAACAGCGCACACCAAGTTAACTAATAACTGGTTTAGGATTTTAATAATAATGCATATCATTAACAGCACTTTATCTCTAGCTTTACTCACAGTAAGTTATAGAATCATCCAGAACATTACAATCAAATAACAGGTTTTGAGGTACATAAATGCTGTTAAAACTTTTATCCATTACAGAATAAGCCTAATTAGGATGAAATGTACTGAGGTACAGTTAATACACAACTACTATTATACCACTTTAACATATTGTACCTCTGCACTTAGTTTTAAGCTCATCAATTGTTGCTGTTTTTGTTAAAGATATTCCTGAATCTCCAACTTACCAAAATTATATCCACCATGAACTCTGCCAGGTGCTTTTGATGATTCAGGAACAGTTGCTAATAACCGTACTGTTCCCCTCAAACTTAATTGGACTTTGTTAAAAATTATCTAGATAAATAAATATTTATTATTATTATTATAACATTATTAAATAATTATTAAATTTGTTTTTAAGACAAAGCTTTTTTTTAATAAATGGCAAGATATTAATTCAATATACAAAACATATAAATGGCACTTTAAGTTTGTAATATTATAGTTATTTCAAGTACAGCTGAGCATTCAGTAAAATTTGCTTATTAATTAATTGATTAATTGTGAGCTCATTAATTAATTGCATTCAACCAATAAATTATTTTGAAAATACAGCTAAAAGTTTTTTAAACACTTATAAAACCTGGGTTTTAATACTAGTGGTAGGCAGAGTACAGATAGCCCATTGCATAGCTTTGTGCTTAAAAATAAACAAACATAATGACAGTATTTTAATTACTTGGATAGTAGAAAATAGTAGTAATCAGAAACCTTAATCTGGATTAGTTCATTATTTTTGAGTCTCATGACATTTATCTATTAAGCTTAACTTTAATTAATCGAAAACAGTAATAATCATAAACAATAATTTCAATTAGTTTATTTTCATGACATTATTCCATTTAATCATAATTTTGATCACTGGATAGTTGGAATAATAAAAAAATTAGCAAAAAGGCACACTTGATATATGTTTTATTACTATCTTAGTATATTAGAAAAAGCAACAGTTGAAAATTCATCAGAAGTTGACAGTAACTAATACAGTGCAAAGGTCAACAAAATTTGGGATCCTGGTTCATGACCACAAAATACAGATGGTCAAACAAGTTACATTATTAAACTATGAACTTGTACAAATAAATAAGGTTATTTTTTTCCTCATATAAAAGTCAAACTGGGGATAACTAAAGTGAAAAATATAGATAAAAGTGTACATTCATTGTTTTGATTTTCCTTGAAATATTACTAAAACACCTGTACAAATAGTTATTTTTTCATTCTAAAAAAAATCAGATTGGGGATAACTATAGTGAAAAATATGGATAAAAGTACACATCTATTGTTCTTTAAAGTTATACAGAATGTTCTGGTTTTCTCGTAAACATTACTAAAACATGAACCTGTACAATTAAATAAGGTTATTTTTCCTCATAAAAAAGTCAGACTGGGAATAACTAAAGTGAAAAAATATGGATAAAGTACACATCCATTGTTCTTTAAAACTATTCTGGTTTTCTTGTAAACTGTTCGATGACAAGAAAATGCAGCTGTTTAATGAATGTTTTCACTCTTATCAACTACTAAAAAAAACTGAAATTTCAATAACTATATTATTAAAGGAAACATTTTCTCCACTTATTGGTATACATTTTAATTTATGTAATAACAGTTCAAAATTTGAAAAATATTCCACATAATCCAATTTTTTAGGAGTAATCCAAAACTTTAAGCCTCATGATAATACCTTTTCTTCTACTTGGGTTAAATGATGATCTGAAAAATTATAGATAATCTGTGTAGGATCTTCTAAAAAAAGTAGGTAAACTAAACCTGTCATGCTTTAACATATACAAATGTTTTTTAATTTGCTTTAACCTTATTTAATTCAAAATTTTATTTTTATGACAATCAATCAGAAAATTTACATTTGAGACCACTTCTTTCTATAGCATTCACACACTTGCTTTGCAAGTGTTTGTATACTTTCAGTTTGTATGCCAATTCTATCTTTAAAACTTTTTATGTGAAAATCTATAAAACCTGGTAGATCTTAAACTGCAGTTAGCCAATTTAAAAACTTCAGAACCGAAGTATATCGTACATATTCATTTAAAAAATTAACATGCAGTTAATACAGAAATCCAAACATATATGAATAAGTGAAGAAAATGTTTCATTTGATAAAATAGTTACCAAAATTTCAGGTTTAATACTTTTAGGATTTAAAAAACTGTAGAATCTAAAAACAAAAGTAATCTGCTTATGAAATGGAAGAAATTAGAACTCCAGTTGAAAAGGAAACTGAATGACAAAATTTAACTGGCATATTTAATAGGACAATTGCAACATTTATGCATTTGGAAGAGAAACGTTCACAGAATAATTGATAAATTAAATCACCTTAGAAACGAAATATGTTTTCAACTGAAGTGGAATTGATGGTAAAGTTTGATCGCATAATCAATGTAAACATCATGAATTCATCAACAATAATGCAAGTTGTCATTACTAAGTGGCGACATCCCAAGTCGGCTAATCTTTCTTTAGTTGCCTTATATGGTTTACCAGTAAGAAGTATATAGTAATATTTCAATTGTACACCTGTTGTGTCATAAATTGATACCAATAAGGCTTTTCTCTCAATACAAGAGCCTAACTGACCTAATGATCTGTAGTATTGGGCAAAAAGCCTCATTAACAGCCACATGGGGTCAACAATCTTTGAACAGTATTCCATTTTTTGTAAGCTCTCTGAAAAGCATCTGAAAATACAGAGCTTGAGAAGGAAATAAAAGTTTACATCCCAATAAAATGTATAATATATTTTAACAAATTTAGTCCTTTATGGTTTTTCCAGTAAGATGAACCATACACTTTGTGTGGTGGTTATGATAACAGAAATATGAGAAGCCAACACACAGTCAAGGTTGATGCAATTAAATCAAACAATTTCTTCGTTCCTTGTGACTGTCATTATTGTACTGTGTGACCATGCAAGTTTTTGTACCTGGCCAAAACATTTTTTTGGTTTTATTCGAAGAATGTATACTATATTTAATAGCGTTAACCAGGAGACAGGCTATTTTGAAATCTTATGTCAGTATCACTCTCAAACCTTTTCTGACTCTATATGTAAAATTGAAACATAAAAGTAGTAACATGCCAAATGGTATCAGCATTTGTGAAGTTCAATGAAATTACAATGGATAGTACAACCTATTCTAAAGTTCAATCATTAGCTGATGAGCTAGCATCATACAGATTTGTAGTTTCTTTAGCAGTTTGGTATTATGTACTAACACAAATACATCTAGTGAGCAAGAAAATGAGTAGCTCAACTATGAGAACTGACATTGTTAGTAATTGCCAATGGCATATGGCAAGTCTTTCTTTAAAGAAAATGGTTACAAAGTTGCACTGACAAGCTCTGGAAGAAACATTTATCAGTTGTTTCAGTCTTAAAAGCCACATAGAAACAACTCTTTTCTTAATCATTACAAATTTAATTACATAAAAATAATGTGAATGAGAAAATTTACACTTCTAAGTAGGCATGAACAATTTTCCTATTTCATGTAAAATTTATGTACTGAAAGAGGTATCAATTAAGTACTTTGCACAAGACCCAGAATTTTTTTGCAATGGCACTGTTATTCAGCTTCAGACAACACAAGTGTTTTAAAGAATTGTTAGTAGAAAGTGGAATCATTTCAAATCCAATGACACAGTTGCTAGGACACAAACAGGTAACAGCTATCTGTCAGTGATGGCTTATTCTAGACAGAATTAGCTGCAAAGTTGTTACAAAGTTGGCATGCAAGCCAGATGTTCAGAGAAGTGCATTCCACACACAGATCTCACACATAATGGTGTCAAGAACATATCCAGTAAATCAATACCACGTAAGCCAATATTCATTTCCCAGTGCATCTAGATAAGAAACATGTATTCATTTGAAATGGACTTGGAATTAGAACCCAATTTTCATAAAAAACGATGTATACAACCTCACTTGTTTCATAAATATCTAGATTTCACGAAAAAGTTGACACTAACAGCAGTTTGAGACTGAAATCATGCCTCCTGAACCAATAAAAACAACAACCGAGGAACAAGCTAAGATGATACAGTTCACCATCTACAAGCAACATGAACCAATGTCTTGATTCAGAGCTAATTAGATGAAAGGTTGAGCCATATGACTAGCATATTTCTTCTGAGCAATGAAAAACTAAAGTGTAAAACAATTTGAATTCCAAAAAATGAAATAAATAATACATACAAAAAAAATTCCTATGGTAAACAGTTATACAAAAGTAGTAGCTGTACAGGTGGTGTCGAAAACATACTGTGAAGACACTTATCACACAATTAAGTAAGAAAAGCTTACCACAAACAAATAGGTTTAAGGAAAAACACGAAAGTCAAGAAGGAAAAAAAACACAGCAGCCAAGGAATGAAAGTTGCCTTCTTTAGGATCAGAGAGGAAGTTTGGTATGCTGTTGAAGAGAAAGAAGTTTGTATTAAGGAAAAAAGAATAAGGTGATGGTTGTTTGAGAATTTGCAGACCTTTATGTGTATGAAGCTGTTATAATTAATTAACAGCATTTATTCCATTACATACTAGTAGCTAGTGGATCAGGAAAGTTTACATACTTCCTTTAATGCAAAAACAAGACAAGTGCTTCTCTAGTTTGGAAAGCAAGTAAACATGAGTTACAAATTCACATACTTCAAATGTAGAGTCACTGGAAGATAACATAGGAAGATAAGATAGTAACTTGGCATTTGCCATATTCTATACAAGTTTCTAAGTGCAACAGGTTTCAAGCTATAACACTAGGGAATTCACCTTAAACATTTGGGTTAAGATAACTGAAGATAACAGTGATAAACATAGTTTATATGTTTGTTTATTCTATTCAAACATTTTCACAATAAATCATAAGGGATATTTAGATAGTTTTGTTAGTTTTTAAGCAGTTGACTTTAGCTTTAACATACTAGCTTAGACCTTGTTCTAGCTAAATAACAATTATAGCTTCTTTCAGCTTCACTAATTTTAATTTTTTTATTCTAAGTTCACTCTATATGATTGAAATACAGAATCATAACTGAAAATAACATATTTGTTTCACAGTGCAAAGATTAGCCTCATAATAAATCAGTCTACAATAATAAATTTAATTGAATTTAATAACTTTAGGCAATGTTTGTTTTTACTATTTTAAGTATCTAATTTGCTACAATTATCTTACAGACACCAATGTTTATATTGCAAAAGTTTGGTTGACTATATACCACTATATACATATTAGGTAAACAGGGCTATCTGATAATATATGAACAAATACTGTGTTCTGTTTGGTTCTTATTGGTTAAAGGAGTGTAGCAACAATGTTTACACGTCCTCCTTCTTTCTTGAATGACACTATTTTTCACTGGTTTAGCACTATCAAAATTCTGTTTTAATTGAAGAGAATTTATAGTTTTGATCAGTGACAATGCCAGCCTACTAGGGTCCCCAAGCAACAATATTTATGGCTTCTCTCCACCTACTCCCTATAAAATATTAATTGCATTATTACTGTAAACCAAAACATGTACAAACACAACATATCAATACACTTGTTAAAAATTGCATGCAAAATAAGATGAAAAGAATTTTTAGGGTAAGCAATAATAAAATGTGTAAATGGTACCTTACCTTGATTAAAACTTTTAATCTTGCTTTAAATAAAAGAATTGTCTCTGGCACTTTTTAACAGAAAGTCACAAGTTATGCAATTTTACGTGTTTTCTTCCTAAATCAAGATCGATACTAACAAATGCCAATCCAGATCCTGAGTCATAGTTGATCACAAGAATGTTTTTAAAATAGGCAAAAATCAAAGTTGTGATTAAAATGTAAAGAAACAATTCCCCTTAACTGAGGCCCTAGGCACTTCTTTGCTTATGCCTAGTTCCATCACTGGTTTTGTTAATATTTATTTTTAATTCTAAAACATAATACAGTGTTGAAAATTAAGCTTAAAGTAGCTAGAAAAACCAAATTCTCTTAACTTAGAACTGTCTTCTTCTACAATTAAGACTAGGATGCCTAAATTCAGCTAAACATTAAATTATAATGATCCAATCACCATACTGAATCAAACAAAAATAAATTACAAATTTTATAAATTAAAAATGAAGTGTATGTTCACAAGTTTTTTTGTATGAAACCATGTGCCAGACAACATGCTATATAATGTTAACTATTTCATGGCAGAAGTTTATTACCAGTTTAGCAACTTAGATTATATCAAAATCTGCAAAGTAGCCTTTTACATTAAAAAAAAAATAAATCTACAATATTTTACCTTTGTTAAAGTCATATTGTTTCTTCCTAATAAACCAACCAACATTTTCTGAGACTGAAACCTAAAGGAAGAAAATAAACTAACTTATAAACTTGATATTAGAGAAGATTATTTCTACACTAAATACAAACTGAATATATGTAATTGAAGATAAATATAAAATCTACAAAAAGTGACAGAGAACAAACAATTCAATGTGCTGAGGTTATTGTTCAATCTTTGCTTTTGACCAGATGGATGTACCCTAAAATACTTTATGAATTTTTCTGAACAATTCTATTCAGACAAGAAAAATATTCACTAATAAAAAGAGTTAACAATTTTTGAAAATGAATTTTTTTTTAATTTCTAAAAATTCTATAAAGGATCTCTGTGCAGAAGAAACTCAGTGTAGCTAATACATTCTCAATAAATGTAGAGAGACATGGTCTAGTAGATGATGTAGAGGGCTTCTGTTATTTGGGTCAAAGTTTTGCTCAGATACTGTCTGACCTCATTCTCATCAGGAGTTTAAAATGGCTCTACTTGAGCCATAAGAATCAGCAACTTCTTTGTTTAACCGCTTGCAAGGTGCACATACTGTGAGACACTGTTCAGGTTAGAAATTGTAAGTTACAATTATTAGCTCCATATACATATTTTGGACTAACCTAAATCTACTAAGTTGGCTGAATTTCATGAAATATTATTAACAACAAGGGTACATAACTGATATAACAATGCATTTTAGTCTTTATGTGATTATAAATAGAAACAATTATTTTTGATTAGCTATTGTATTTGCAAGGTCAATATTTACTTTTTGGAGAACACAGTTTGTTCTAACCTGAAGTTAATATTAATTATGAAGCTTGCTTACTACTTTTTCAGACGATTTTTCTCAAGGCAATAACCTCTGTTGCCCCAAGAGCCATATTCCAAGAAGTGAAAAAATCTTGAAATTTTTCAATGGTCATTTGAATCAGTAACTTCTCTGTAATTATGAAATGTTTCACAACCCATAGTATACCAACGAGTTCAACATTACAACAACATTATTCTAATTTAATCTACAGGATGGAACAGCCAAGATGGACCAATAGGTCCCATGTTGTCCTAAAACGTTATTTACCACTACTTCGTAATCTACCAAAGTGCTTAAAATTTACCACTGGATAATTGTTTTATACAATGAAAAATACATTAATTAAAACGTTGGGGATATATATATTAATATACAAGCATATACATATACAATTCATATACTGTAAGTTGCAACCACTGAATGATTAGCGCTAGGTATTTCTTTGGTATTTTTTTTGGAAAAATATCATATTTTAATTTAGATACCTCCTACTTTATTTTGCAAATTACAAGTGTAAGAACTAAAAGTTTGTGTGTATGTTATTAAGTATTACTATTAGTACTATTAATATTCATTATTATATCTTCACGCTAACGCCAAAAGAATTTACGTTAATAAGATTAATAACATTAATATAATATAGAAACTTCCTCAATTAGACTCAAGTCAAGAGCAAAGTAAATATTTACTTTTGTTGAAGATTACATCCCATGTTTACAATGTCAAAGATACAAATCTAAAATGAAAAGTTCACCTACTGTTTCTAAACACAAACGTTCCTTTACTTGCAGTTATAATAACGCTTCGTCACCAGCTCTATTTGTATAGTGATTTGTATTTACGGAAAAAATACACCAACATTCATACTATCGCCCCTAATCTAACTACTGAGTAGAACTTAGAAGGAAGACAGCCAGTTCCCAGCACCTTATCCTCCCTACCACCACCACCCCTAGGAATTTACTGTCACTTTTAATTATAATACACCTATAGTTTTAAGTGT